TGCCAGAAGGGCGCAATGTTGTGGCCCTATAAAAAGTTATAATATAAAATTAACAAAAATTAAAAAAACAGCGTAATAATTAAGCCTCCCGTAAATCAGAAATTTTGTTCATTCGCCCTTCTGGCGTGACGTCATCGTTATAGAATCAAGCCATGCTACATGAATGATTGCCGCCGGGAGTGTCTTGAGAAGAGCACATACCTGAGCTGAGGTGTAGTTTCTATTGGCAGGCGGATGAACACAGACTGAAGACGGAGAAAGCTGCGATGTTGCAAAACTTATTGTCGCATTGCGCCGACTCTGTTCGGATGCTCAGCATCCTTCCCCCCTTCGGCCACCATTCCTCTCCACCGTCGCACGTCGTCGCTAATAAATGACGTAGTCAAGAATCGAACGTGGTGTGTCCTGGCACGCGGGGATGATGGCTCATAAAGGGAATTCGATCGAAAACGAAAGCAACAGTCCAACGCGCGACGACCAAAATGAATGACACCTTTCTGTATTCATTTTTCCTCGGTATTAATTTTAATTTTCTTAGAAAGCAGGACCAATGAGCTCTTGGGGCTCATCTAGTCTCCTATACTGTTGGCAAAGTGTGCTACTGACCCGGAATGTCGAAGCTGACGAACCAGACAGTGCGACCGACACACCTCACCCGGTTTACACCTCAATAGTAGTGGCAGTTACTGCTGGTAGTGGTGTTGTAATAATGGCTATGAAGGTACCTCGGCCCAGTCTTTACCGTATATAAATTCGTAAGGACTCTGTTAAGTTGTGTTGTGTCCAGTGCCCTGTGTTGGAAACAATTTACGTCGTAGAAAAGAATTATTACAAGTATTGCCCCTAAAAACGGACAGATTTATGACAAGAAACCGTGTCAGCGAAAAATTACATAAAATTGGCGTAATCTTATAAATCTTATTTCTCTATTCTGCTTTTCGTGTGAAAAAAAAAGAATATTCTAAGTGTGCCGCGAGTACCACTGGTATACAGCCCACTTTCTAAGTTTCTGGAGGGACGCAGATTGCAGCTTGTGTACATTTTAGGGGATGAGACTTGTCTATGCGCTACGCCGCCAGTGTTGGTATCACTGTCTTTACAAGCAGTGTCTGGGCGGCACCCTAAAACTTGGAGCACAGAGGCGCAGATATAGCATGACCACAGCCCTGGTTCTTTGTAATTCTTGTCACTAATGTGTTATGACATTATCTACATTATACTTCAAAAATAAAATTTTCCGCGTAGGGGAATTCACGCTTGATACTGGTCTGAATAACTTTTTCAGAGTAGATAAGTTGGCAATAACTGAGAACAGATGGCGGAAATGTATTGCGTGTGAAACAAGTGAGTATTTTTGCTAAATTGGTGGTAAGGCGGAAATTTGTATTTAAATGTCTAATCTGTAATTAAACGTAAACAAATGTATTTATCTGGGTATATATTTTCAAAATATTTTTTAGCAAGCGACAGTCATTATGTCAAATAGTCACTGGACACTTCATTTGTTTCATAATTGTCACCAAAGAGATTGCAACTTCCAAGCTTTTCGCTTCCGAAAGTACATTGACATCTATATTCGACTTCGTGAAATCTCCTTGCAAACCTAACCTATATTACCGTATTGGTTACACTGAAAATACTTGATGTAACTGCAATACAATTAAAATACCTGCACTGCATTAAATAAAAAGTAATATTTGAACTCAAAATTCCATTATATTGCTGATCTTTGTTAAAGTAGGGTATTAGCCAGTCATGCCTCCCCTTTAATAAATATCGTATATCCTTTAATAATTTAAATTCTGTAACAAAATTTGTTGTGTGACTTGTGTAAGTTAATTTGTGGGTGTTTAAAGTTGAATGGCCTACACACCCATCACTTTATTATTGCTATTACTATATTTAAGTTATGAAACATTACATAAATGACAGGCATATTATCAATAGTGTTTTGAAGGCAAATGTAGTCATTATAATGATCTAGTTTGGCCTAGTAACCATAAATGTTGTCTGTATTCAGTTATACATAAAGGCTTTAAGCACGTTAGTATGGTTTGAGCAGGATCTGCATTTCTGAAAGTTGGTTTATAAAATCTTGTACAAATATCCACAGAGCATTAAAGGCTACAAAATAAGTGTTCACAAATTGAATATGCAGTAATTGGCTGCATGGAAAGGTATTACATGCCTGCCAGTAAGGTATATGTTTTAACACTGTGAGAAGAATGCCTTAAAATCAGATAGATAAAGAAATATTGTTTACATATATCACTATTTTTCAGTGCCAAATTAGGTACCATGGTTAAAATGCATATTCTATTATCCACAGGTTCTGGATTAAATCTTGTCCCAGAGACTGAATCCTGACTAAAGCTGTCATTGTTTTTGCTATTTACACCAGGAAATACTAGATAGTATCTTGAAATAGATCATAATCAATTCCTTCCACACCCTAATTTGTTCTTCATTCATAATCACCTTGTTTACCTTCATGACTTTGCCATCATAAAGTAAACTAAGAAGAAGCGTTTTAGATATGTTTCTGAAAGCACATTGAGTCACTCCTGTTAAAGTTACCTATGATATGCAAATGCATGTGTTTTACTCATAGTCATATATGTTCAATAATGTCTAAGATATAGACAGTATGAACCCACACATTAATTATTGTCTTTTGTGTTCAGGTAGATGCTGGTGATGTCGCATGGGCATGGCAATGGTGACACGTTACAACTCATTTCTTCTGGGCATTGTGTTTGCATCCATCACTTGGGCTGTAATCCTCTACCTATACTCAGTCATCACTCAAGATTCCTCAACAAAGCTTGCCACCACCAGCAAGGCCCCCTTCATCAATGTTCATACACCAGACAATAGTGAGAACTTTATAGACTCTGATCTTCAAAACCAAGAAGCAATTACGTCAGATGCATTTTTCCTTAAATCTTCTTCCTCTAAGAAATATAATCCCAAATTATATAACACTGTAATTAATGATGTCATTATTCCATTACAATCAAGGGCAGAGGGTAAGAGTGCTCATTCATTGAAAAATGCTTACTACTGGAATGGGTACAAAAACAGTAATGATCTAATTAACAAACTACAGCCCAAGACACTGAAGCCTGACATAAATGAAGTGGGGATGATCAAGACAGCAGAAGATCAGGTTTTGAGAAGTGAAGGATACAAAGTGCACGCATTTAATGTTCTGGTGAGCCACAAGTTGAGCTACCATCGGGATATTCCTGACACCCGCCATCATCTGTAAGTATCCAACATAACCCCGCATAATAATGGATTTTTCTAAGCAGTTATTCAGTTCTGTAACAAGTTCTGTATTGTCGCAGAACAAAAAGGATCATCACTGTCATCATAGAAGTTCAAGCAATCCTCTGTTGAGCCAGTTCAATCCATTTTATATTCTTACAAAAAGTTTCTTTAAGATCCTTTTTCATTCTTTGACATACTTAATGTAGTAGAACATTGTAAAATTAAGTATCTCCTGCTGTGTGTAATGTACTAAAACATAATACAAAAGGGATATTTAAAATGACTGGTCTGATAACTTCAAGACAGAGTGGATAATAATGGCATGCCAAAGGGTTAGTTTCACGTAAGACAGTGCCACATATAGATGTCAAATACTATGTTCAACTACTGATTGACACAAAGAATGAAGAGAAAGCTAGGTTCCTGTGCCAGCCTTAATATTTCACAGTGTACTCTAGTGACAGGAACCTACATTGATAAAATTTGACAAATTGAACCACATCAGCATCATTAATGAATTCTAACATTAGCAGACACTTGAGGTTGGTAGTTAACCATTTTGTGGTTTTATTATGATGCTGGCAATGAAATATAGGGATACTAAATTTGCTTATGTCTGCAGGTGTAAGAAGCAAAAATACCCTTCTCAGTTGCCATCTGCGAGTGTGGTGATTTGTTTCTACAATGAAGACTACGACACTCTACTGCGGACAATACACAGCATCGTAGACCGCACACCTGACAGCCTCCTGCATGAGATCATCTTGGTTGATGACAATAGTGACATTGGTAGGTAACACAGAGTTCTGAAATAGCATCTTCTGTGAAATAAGTAAAGTTGCCTGTTGGTATATTGCATTTTTAGTGTTTATTGCTTTACCATTTTTGTGTGATCTCACACTTATTACTGTTTACTCTAAATGATGTGATTCTTAAAAATTCTCTCTCTTCTTAAATCTGTTGAAGATATTAAGTATCCACTACAGATCCATAAATTATTTTTTTCAGATTCTCTTTCTATTACCATTGTTCCTTATTATTTTTTGGCTTTTTCCTAAATTTTATGATGCTTAATTCTTGTTTTTACTTGCAAACTCTTTTTCACTTTCTAGGGACACCAGGAACTGTTACAATTCCTGTTGCTGTTTTAAGTACGAATTTTTCATCTTCTTCTCTTGTAATCCTTCTTATAACCTTCATTAGCAGTGCATCATGGCTTGTATGTGGTTCAGCTTGCCGAGCATCACTGTAGTATATCACAAAACCATTAACTTGTGGGGTTTAAATCCCCTATTCTTCTGTGATAAGGGTTAGGCTATGAAAAGAGCCTAAAATACATATATGAATCCGGGTACATGGATGCTTAATTTATATTTATAATCTCAAGAATGAGATTTTGCTAATCTCTTAACATCCAGTGTATTCCTTGGATTCTTACTCTGTCGACTTCTTACAACCATATTGTCTTACTTTTGTTGCCGGTGTATCTCTGGCCTTCGCAGATGGATTGCGTTCCTCACTAGAAGCCTACATAGCAGCTAACTTCACACTGAAGGTTACACTTCATGCAACAACTCGCAGAGAAGGACTGATCCGTGCTCGCATGTTTGGTGCCAAGAAAGCTACTGGTTTGGTCAGTTAAACAATCTGGATGTAAAATTTCAAAATGGTTGAAAAAAAGTTAATCATTATTCCTAATGAAACATTTTTGGACTTTTGTTATAACTGTTGTCACTCTAGATGAATATAATAACACTGAGATACTAATAACAAAATTTATGCCATCTCCTTGTGAGAAAACAATAATCTATTTGTATTCACGATGATCCTGTATCAGCTATCTCACAAAACATCCCAGAAGTGATCCTTAAATCTAATTTCCTTGTGAAACTCTAACTTGTAGGACAGAGCATTTAGTAAACCAGACAAAAATTATGTGATAATTTTTATGCCACTATTTTGGAATTTTTAAATTTTTCTCAAACAAGTATTTTGAGTTATGTGCATAGTATACCAGTGGTATAGGAGGGATTTATTCCCTTGAAAACAGGTCCTAAGTAGTCTGAAATGGTGTGCATTATTTTCCAAATTTATACAGAATGGTCAGAGTACAGGATATAAATATGCAGACAGAGGAACAGATTCCATTTCCAGCGCTTGGTGAAATATCATTATTTAAAATCCTGAAAAAAACTAAGTTTCCTGAACTCAGTAATTATATTCATGTTTTGATTAGTTACTCTTTTACAATTTAAACTATGAAGTAATTCATTCCAAAGCCTTATCTCTGTTTTCATGACGTGCTTATAATTCTGTGACCTTCCTTAACCTATACATGATCAATAATTTCATGATATCATCACATTCACACAAACCAACAGATCTGCATGCTAGGGAACCATATGACAGATGAAACATACACCAACACTAATTTTTTTGTCTATGATTATATTAAAATCCTAATAAGTTATTTGAAAATATGGCAAAGTTTATTGACTGCTTTGAAACAACTGAAGAGAAGAGACCGCTTGGAAGACTGAGTATAGACGAGAGGCTAATATTAAAGTGGATGTGTACTGGATTTATCTGCTCAGGATAGGGACTGGTGGTGGCTTTTGTCAGCACAGCAATGAGCCTTTGGTTCCACAAAAGACAGGAAATTTCTTGATAAACTTCTCAAGGACTCTGCTTCACAGAGTTAGTTCATTAGTTATAAATAAAGTCTGTGATTGTATTAGTTAATTATTGTTTCAAAAGCCATCTTGCAGCTCAGGTCGAGTTACCTATGGAAGCCAATTCTTAAAGTTACTAGATGACCATTTCATTCGACAGGACCTTGTATCTGCACATTCTGAGAGCAAGTATTTCCTGTCTACTTGAGGTACTGAAATTGCAGGTATTGGTATTCCTGGACAGCCACATAGAAGTGAACTGTGATTGGCTCCAGCCCCTTCTGGCAAGAATTGCAGCGTCTCGATCTACTGTTTCCGTGCCTATTATCGACATTATCAACTCGGACACATTCGATTACAGTTCATCACCCCTTGTGCGTGGTGGATTCAACTGGGGACTCCACTTCAAGTGGGAAAATCTTCCTGTAGGAACACTGGCCATTGAAGAAGACTTTGTGAAGCCTATCAGGTCTCTAAGTGTTTTTGTCACGATTGTCTCTTACATTTATTGTATATGTTGTTTTGGGATTTGGAACTGTTTGACTTCAGAGTTCTGTTATGCATTTTTGCACAAAGGGATGTCCATGTCTATCTGCATATGTGAATTCAAGAATCACTTGATTTATTTTGACGGGCTTTAATGTTGGGTTGTTTTACTAAAATATGTTAATCAATTCCCACTTTAGTCAAAACTAGAAATGATAATGACCACTTTATGAATGTCTACACACAGTTTTAAAATATACTTGTTAAATACTCATTGGGGTGAGAAATGTTTCAAACAGGAATCACAGGTAATAATTAAATGCATTAAAATAATATTGTAACCCTATTACGGTACATTATATAGAATAATATTCCACGCATTTTGAGGTTCAACTTTTCCTTACAAGTTATTCTGCTGTTACAGGACTCCTACTATGGCCGGTGGACTGTTTGCTATTGACAAATCATACTTTGATGAAATTGGAGAATATGACTCAGGAATGAATATCTGGGGAGGAGAGAATCTTGAATTATCATTCAGGGTGAGGATCATTATATTGGCAAATTATAGTGATTTCACTTTTGTTAAAATAATATAAATGTACATACATGCAATATAAATTATTGGTCTAAATCAATTTATTTTATATGCTGGTGTTAAATTATGGTTGAATAAAGCTGAGGTACCTGTAAAAGCAAGTTGTAATATGTTGGAACATATTTATTTTACTGCTGAATATGAATAACACAGAACTGTGCCAAAGACAATTTTTCTTTTGCATATCTAACAATAAAATATTTGTAAAAAACAGGGTTTTTTTCATTTGCAGTAATTATTTTTTTAATTTTATTTTCTTGTTTTTCAGTTAAAGATTACAGGGAGAGTTACATAGTACAGGCTGGATAAAATATATGAATATATTTGATGGGTTGTAAATGCATTGTTTTGGTAAATGTAGTTCAGTCACTGCAGAAAATGTACTTGACATTTTTTATATATGTATCATTTAATTGTATATTTTTTATTATCATGTTTGGAGGTCTGGATGTGTGGTGGAAAATTGGAATTGATTCCATGCTCGCGTGTGGGCCATGTATTCAGACGTCGACGTCCATATGGTTCACCGATGGGGGAAGATACAATGACCAGAAACTCCTTACGAGTTGCAAATGTTTGGATGGATGAGTATAAGGTACGGTTAACTGAATAGAATGGATTTATTTATTTATGGTTTATTTAGCAATGCTTTTTTCGGTAGCTCAGACTATACAACGATGAGAGACTGGATTCAGCTGGTTCAGGATTGGGCCCAATTATTGATGTATGTGAACTTTTGGTCTCCATAAAAGCAAGAAATTTCTTGACTGCATGAGTAACTGTGATCTTTTCTAAGAAGAATTTGTACACTGCGGTTGGTTATATATAATAGATTACATATCTTCTGTGAATTGTCTTAAAATGCAGTATATTCAATTTCATTGGTTCTTCATTCAGAGTAAGAGTTAAATTTCAGAAGGATACATAATGGATAAATGATGCACCATAACCTCAAATTAAAGTACAGTTTATACGGCTCATAAATGTTAATTTAGGTCACATATTGGAAAATGAATATCTCCGCAACAGTGGCACAACAATCAAGTCTTCAGTCATAGATGCTCATTTTATGGACCATTCTACTTCGCTAAAAAAATGGCGGCCGGAATCTCATATCTAGACGTGCTGGAAGAATTTGTTATATCCCAGCTGCAAAGAGACACTGAGGTAGCAGACATTCAGTTCCAGGAGGATGGTGCTCTGACACAATATAACTGCAGAGTTACCTTTTCTTGATGCCAACAGCGGGGATGGCTGATGGGTTGCCACAGTTACCTGATGTACACCTTCCAGTTTCCATTTCTGTGGCTAGTCCTAGGCGCGCTTCTCTTTTCAGATTATGCGAACTTCCCACTATTTGGGCGTGGTGACCCCTAGCCTACCGAGGAAATAATCCTCGGAACTTCCTCCGTTGGCTATTAGCCGGGGATGAAACTCACCCGTTGCCCGACTCTCAGGTGGCCATGGCATACAATGACCGGACCTTGCCATGTCTCTGGGTACCCTTGCAATGCCAGACGAAGGGCCGGAATATGCCTTAAGAGGGTCAAGGGAACGGTGTTTATGTTCCTCCCCTGCCAAAGTCCTTAAGGGAGCCGTCGGACAGAATCTATATTAGCAAAGATTACATTCAGATGGGCATTTGCTGCTTAACCTGTGGAATCTACATTGAGCACCTGTGAACAGAAACTTGGATTCTGGGTCACTGTTCATTTCCCTGTATGTCACCTGAATAAAAAGTTATAATCCGTTTATTTCATGTTTTAATTTGTGGTTGTTCGGTATTCAGTTATGATGTCACTTATTCCAATAGTAAAATCCAGACTGTGGAAATTTATTGACTGCAGGACTACTTTCTTAAATTACGACCCGACGCTAGAAATATGCCGTACGGTGATATCGGCGAACGGAAGCGGCTACGAGAGAGATTGAAGTGTCATTCATTCAAGTGGTATCTGGACAATGTGTATCCTGAACTCACGCTGCCAACAGATAATGAACAGCGGCTCAAGAAGAAATGGGAGGCTCTGGAACCGCAAAAGTACCAACCGTGGCACTCACGTCGGCGCAACTATATCTCTCAATTTCAGGTTAGTGGAAATAGGAGTAAATATTTAGCAGTTACAAGGTTAAAACAATAAAGGTGTGCTAGTTGGTATATCCAGAATATGAGATAAAGATGACTGAATGGACAAGAACATGCATTATCATCATTATCATTTAGTAAAATGTCTATATGTCAGTCATTTATGATGTGGGACATAAGTGAGACGTGGTCTTTCACTGCATATTGAAATGCCCTATTTTCTATCCTTATTTAAACTGTCAGACACGTGATTTCAGATGTTCCACGCAACGATTTACCTGATTATTAGTCTTTAGTATTCTGATAGAGTTCATGATCCTTGTTTCAGCTTCGTCTGAGCAACACATCCCTGTGTCTCACATCGGAGAAAGACGTCAAGACGAAGGGCTCTTTACTCATACTAAAAAGCTGCATGCGCATGAAAAACCAGGTGAGAGAATATCATCATCTTTAATCCTTTGATATGTCAGAAACTGCCAACAAAAGGTCAAACTTTCTACGAACCTGGAATTGATAGCCTTCAATTTTCTGAACGATACAGACATAATTTCAGTAACTGAACTACCTTAATTTAAACAGGAACTTTACACTTACGGTACCCAAAGTGTTCAGTTGTTAAATTAATATTTCAGAAATGTTCCTGCTGCTGTGATATTAATGTTGTTCTGCTTATCAATATTTATATACATATTAATTTTAAAATTATTGGTTGTTAATGTTAATATGAATGGAACAAAGTCTTCTTGTAAGATTTGAGGTTTTCACTGCGGTGAGTATGAAGATTTCCGTCCTCTGGGTTGTTGCGCTGGGCCCTGATGACGGAGGCAGTATGACCTCTGAAACGTTGGTTAACATCGACCAGACTACGCAGCGCAACAACCCAGAAGACAGAAATCCTCAGTTAATCAATTCTTAGATTATTTTTATATTTACAGATCTGGTTCGAGACTGATCGAAGCGAGCTTATATTGGCAACATTGCTATGTCTGGACGCATCAGAAAAATTCCCAAAGTTGGGAAAGTGTCATGAGATGGGTGGCGACCAAGAGTGGAAACACAAAGGCAGCGTGAGTAATACAATAAACATTTACAATTAGCTCTAATTGAAAATATCATAGAATTCTGAGATTATTCGCAAAATAAGGGAAGTAAATACAGTGAATGCCTCAAACGCTTATTGTAGTAACGTAAGAGGATGGTAGAAGAAACAATTGCGTGACCCGTTTCAGAATGAGACGCCTGTGTACAACATGGCGGCTGGCACCTGTTTGACTGCACAGAAGGCTGTGTCCGGTGAATACGCAGCGATGGAGCTTTGCTCGTCGTCATCTCTTAATAAGTGGGACCTAATTGCGACGTGATTAATGATATTACTACTACATAGTTTTGTACAGCGGGATTGTGAGTGTACATGAACAAGAAAATAAATGTTTTGTTTCATTTCATTTTGTTTAACAGAGTCTGCTGACGCCTGTTTTGTTTTGCTTTATATAAATTTCCTTCCCTCACAGAATGCACGGCTAACGTTTCATAATCTTGAATGCGATGGCTCGGAATTGTGGTACTACAAGAACTTTCAGTCGCCGAAAATTTTGCAAGTCTTTAATATTTACCGAAATATAATGTACCTGCATCAAGCCAACTAAGATGACAAACATTTTCCCAGGTTCTAACAACGTATTTTACCATTCTGTTTCTTCTTCTTCTTCTACGGCTCTCCGGTCCATGATCGGTCCATGGCCTCCTCAATTCTCCTCTTCCATTCGGTCCTCTGTTAGGTCCGTCTGTCCGAGGCTTTGATTGAGGTTTCGCAACATCTTCCTTTTTATGGTGCAAGGTTGTTAGCCTTGTGACCAACCCCCAACCTGGAGGACCAGGGTACCTGTCTTAGTCCGACCTCTCCCCCTAGGGAGGCCCTACCAGTAGCTCTTGGGGTCTCTGAGGTACCACGACAAGGTGCAGGTACCATTAAGTGGGGTCATTCTGTTTCTAGGTGGTATTTATTTAGAATTCCGTGTTTTCGTCTAGTATAACAATTGCAAAATGAAAGCAGTCGCATAAACTTGAAATTTTTATGAAAGTTAGATTTCGGATTACGGTTTTCTGGGTTGTGACGCTGTGTAATCTTGTTGGTGGTAAAACACGCTTCTCCCATTTCTAACCTAAAGATGGAGGTAGCAAAATCCTCGAAACATTGACAACGACCTACAGGACTAACTACTCAACTAATAGATTTCTAATTAAGATGGATTCTGTAGCTCGGAAACTGAGCACAATATAAAAATGGTGCCAGGACCAAAATTTTTCGTATTGGTGTTGAGATTACAGGAAGTAGATCCATAAACCCGAAACTGTCCTGTGTTCGAGTCTTACTGAAGAAACTGGGATTAAGGATAATTTTTTCTATGACATTCAAGGATACTTGCCTAATGATCGTGCTTTTGGGTAGAGAAAACTGATTTAAAAATATAAGCATTTGTCGAATTTCTCAGCAGCAACACTGTGGGTACTCTTCTATTGTAAATAGTACAAACAACGGTTTTAAAAACAAATTTAAACCCAAACAGCTTTTTGAATTGAGGACAGGAGTTTTTCAAAGGCACAAAAGTGTTGTCTTTATGAGAAGAATAAGAAGTAGAAGACGAAAAATCATTTTTACTTGCCCTTTTTTTCAATCCACTCCTCAAATTTAACCCTATTTAATTTATTTATTGTTTACTTAACGACGTGAGTATATAAATGCCTGTAACATCGACCTACGTAGCCAATGATCTCTGCACACCACTGTTGCTTCTGGTTGTCGCCTAACTTCCTTTCCTGTACCTCCCCACCACGAGATTGGAGGATGAGAAGCTGTCGCTGTAAGCAACTCAATCTGGCTTCAGATCGATAAAACGTAAGTGATGTTAAGCTTAAAAGGCCTCAAGTGTTTCAACCGGCGGCACACCACAGACACTTCATCTCGAGTAGAGATGGCAGCACTGTCAAGTGAAGTCTTTGGAAATTGGTTCGAGGAAACTTTGTATAAGACATGCTAATATTGAAGAGTTGAAATCCCAGACGCCTGTAAATGATACCTTATCAAACGAAGCTGTTATACCTCTGTCTTTCGATTACTACAGACAGACTCGATCATTTCTGAAACGTTATCTTTCAGTCAGCAAGGAACAAATGCTCACATCATAAAATTATTAAAAATATCTCAAGTTATGAAGGACGAGGTATCTGGGAAATATGGAATATTAGCTTGTAACACAACAAACCGCGTCATCTTATACAGGTCACTTCAGCTCTAAATATGGAGACAGTATGTTCCTCCGAAACGCTAGTATCTGCCTACAAGCCCTTATGGCGTTACAACCCAAAAGACAAAGAACATCGACATCTTTTCCGCTGTGAGAACCTAAAATGACATCTATTTAGTTATTTAGATGGCCAGTATGAGACAGGACTAATTCAAGAACTGAGAACCACGTGAACCAACAGCTTGTGAACAGTTTACATGTCAAATTGATCGCCTAGATCTGTCAGCCAGACGCGCACAACTGTCGTGATATCAGCAAATTCTCGCGTTTCTAAACTGCAATAAAGGCTATGTTGAAGCAGGCGTAATAATTATCAAACACCAATCACGGCTGTGGGTTTTCATATTCGTTGCCAGAAATTTGAAGATTCAGCAGGTATGCTCTGACGTCACCAATCGATGTGGATCAGTTCTCAATAAACAAATTGTGACATGACATCCCCATTCCGGGCCATTAGCGCGACAAGCCCGCGGTCGGCAGCTGCGGGAGTTCCCACTCAGCAGCGCAACAAAGGAGCAGGAAGTAGCTAAAGCAAGGAACGTGGAGCAGATGAGAGTGAAGCCTAAGAAAGGAAGAGGCTGCTAGGGAGATCCGAGATAATATTACAACGGAGCTTATAGAAGACGGTTGTAAATGGGACTGGAACCAACTGGCTCAAGATAGGCTCAAGCGGCGTGTTCCTTCAAACACGTAAATGAAACTTGTGAGTCCATAAAGGACGAGAAATCTCTTGACCAGCTAAGGGACTATCAGCTTCCCGAAAAAGAACAGAATTAAACGACAAAGGATGAAATAAAAACTGCAACAATAAAAGAAGTTGTTTACCATCCACCACAACGAAGATAAACTATAGGAATGAGGCATTTTACCAAAAACTTCATTTCAGTACGGATAATACATTGGTATTGTGTCCAACCGCTGTGCTGTCCTGCCCGTGGTTCAGTTCGTACGCCTACGCGCAGGACCAGGAACGAGTCCACTCGTCGCGTATCTCCAAAATACGGAGTGAGAGGAATTTGAATTTTTGGTTGACTTAGTCGCATTCAGAATGAACTCATCAATCCACACTTAAATATAAAAGTCAATCAAATCTTCTGGTCTAATGTTTCGTAGGCCTAGTGACATTCCTCCCACGTCACAAGTGGCGGTAAACAGTCGAGAGGTGTCCCACGCAGACCTGGTCAAGATGGACGTAATATGAGACAGAGACGCGTCTTATCTACTTCTTGGTAAAATGTAAGAGGCTAATCAGGAAACGTTCTGACGTAGAATTTTAACAAATTACTTCCAATCAGAAACTGCAGGTTCAACTTGCTGGATACGATGGCTGGAGAGAAATCTTTGTTCCAAATCAGTCACATTTTTTACTGTTCTCATCTAATAGTAAGTCCGCTTGCCTATTGCTAAGGCTATAGTCCGTGTGGGCCTAAAAGCGACTTAAAATTGGTTCCGGGCCCAAGAACCAAGAAATCAGACTACGAAGTTTCTAGGACAGATGTGCCATGAGATTTGATACTCTTACCAAATATCATTACGAAGACGAAATTAAGATGGATGGGTAGGATATAAAACGCATGGGGAAATAAGATATGCTTATAAAGTTTCGGTTTGGAAGCCTGAAAAAAGGGAGCGTAGATGGGATAATAATGAAATAAATCTGAGAGAAACGACTTTTGTGGATGTGGA